CAGTTTCTAATATTTATCTTATTCCTTTCTTTACTATTAATATATGTTCTGAATACTATCTCAATTTTAATACAATTACTAACAAATGTACTATTTTTATTTTTACAAATTTGTCTACAAAACTACTCTGTCATATTAATTCTGACAAAACTCTTAATCTACATGCTAACTTCTTCAATATTGCATATTCTATAGCTATCTAACATTCTTTACATATTCTATCTTCTTCTTTATTAACAATTAATCTACAATAATTACTTTACATCTTTTAATTAGACCAACTTAAGCACAAATTAAACTCTAATGATGCTTCTTCAAAGCTAAAATTCTTGCTATTCACTTAGCAATTATTACTGCTTTCAGAAACTGTTTTGTTTATATTTTTACCAAATCACAATTTATAATATTCAAATATTACAGTATTTGCTTATCAGCATCTAAAATTTCTTATACCTATACTTTATACTTTTCTATTTAACAAACTCTTATCAACTTTATTTACTTATACAACATTTAGCTTACCTTTTACAAAGTTACTGCACATCAAAATGATTCATTTAATAATCTTACTGACCAATTTATTTGTAGTCATCAAATAATATCTTTTTTAATATTCTTAACTAACAACTCTTACAACTCTGTCTATATTCTATTTATTGACCAATTTCCTATTAAGATTCCTATTTAATACTTTATTTATACTATTTGTTAAGTTTATATTATAACACTTTAAGCATCTCATCATTATTTTCAACAATGGTTTACTATTGCATCTAATATTAACTGAAAAGCCATTTGGCTTTATATTAATAATAATTAAAAAGTTTCCAACTTTGTTTATAGCTTCTATTTCTCTATTCTAAAAACCTTTCATGTTAAAATTTTCTTAAATAAACTACCTGTTCCTCATACTCTTTACAAATGTAACCTTTCTTATTCTCTTTTCTGTCATCAATGCAATTAAATTAGTTCTTTATTATACTGAACTCTTTGTTTTTTTACTCAAACAATCCACCACTTAATCTCTAATTCTCTTAATTTCATCTTAAATATAACTGCTCTTAATATGTCTACCAATCTTGTTTCTAATTTACATTGAAAAATTTTTATATTTAATAGCTTTAAACTATACAACTTTTTATATATACTATCTTTTATTTCTACTTTATTAGACTTAGTTCTTATTAACCTTATCTCTACTAATTATAATATTTTTATTTCTTATTGCACAGCTATTTCTTTTTCAATTAAATTTTTTCTTTATTTAAATTAACAAATATATAAACAAATATGGATCTCATATTGTATTTCACATTTTGCACAGTCTCAAACTGCATTTATGGCAAACTTGACTTATAGTTTTCTTCTAGTCTATTCTTATTCTCTATCTTTCAAAATTAATCTTTAAATTATTCAATGAATTAAATATTATACTCCTCATTCTTATATAATTACTAACTTCTAAATCTAAGTAAGTCTTGATTATTCTTGTAGGTTTAGATTACAGATTATATATATAGATCTTTATTCTTAATATATAATTTAAAAACAAGCTTTTCTTTATAAAAACTTTAATCAAATTTTAATAAATTTAAAAACATAATCTTATTATTAATATTTAAAAAAAAAATTCTTACTAATCATATTAGACTTGTTAAAAGCAAAGCCAAACTCAGTTATATAATTCTTATTAGTATGCTACTTCATTTTTAACTATATAATATATAGAATATTCAACTTCAATACTATATTACAAACTATACTAAAAGACTTAACTCTTTTGATCTTTTTAGTATTAGTATTTGTATTCAGTTTAATAATTTTAAATAATCTTTAGTCATTTATTAGTATCTTAATTTATAATAATTCTGTAATTAATAAACCAAACAACATATTACCAATTTCAAAATAATTTAACTTTTTAAATATCTTGACATCACATTCACTTCTAATTCAACTTACAATATTCTATATACTATTTAACAAAATTCTATCTTATTAGAATCTTTACTCTTTTCATATCCAAAATATTTAATTTTCAAAAAATATTTTAAACATTATGGTATTTTATATCTTGATTAACTTATTATATTTGACAACTTATACTTATTAAATTAAAAACATATTTTTCTTTATAAGATTCCAAAAGGCAAACAGTTAATTTGGTTTATTTATTTAAAAGACTAAGTTATAAGTCACTTCTACAATTATATACTTTACTAACATCTACACCTACTTGATACAAACTATTATAGTTATACAACTAAACACTTTTTATTTTACAAAAAACTATAACTTATTATAGTACTTGATAACCAAATTATTATTGACCAAGCCAGAAAGCAATCTTTTGCATCTGAATCTATTCTTATTATCTACTAGTAATGTAATATTGAATCACAATTTATTTAACTTTATTCTCTTCCATCTATTCAATCCTATATATGTTCTAACTATTCTCTCAACTCTTAAATAATTGCTAACAAATATACAATTATTATTCTTACTAATCTCTTAACTTGATTTTTAGATCAAGTTAATAAGAAAACTCTTAATTTTAATACTAATAATTTTAATCTTATATACTTTATTACAATTCAACATCCTATTCAAATTATAAATTTTTCAAATATTACTATCATTATTTAATCAATTTTTATAATTTTTGAACCTAGTTTACTTATACATAATCTTCAATAAATAATAACTATAATACTAATTTATCAGAACTTCACTTTTATACAGATAACTCTGTTATTAATTTGAATACTTTATAATGCTTTATGGGTATTAGATGGTACCAAATTTCTAATAACTCTATACTATATATATTTTAAGCTCAAATAAAACTTTGACCTTGTTTATTTAAAGTTAAACTTATTACTATTCTATTTACTTTTATTACTGTCCCTAGAAATAGTATTATAAATATATATACAGATTTTTAATTTGTAATTTCTAAATACCAAAGTATTTTAAACTCTTTTATAACTTATTCTATACATATATATTATATTTTTCATTATAGAACTCACTAATTAACTTTGTTAATTCATACAAAATTCAAATTATTTTTCATAAAGTTACTGTATACCAAGACAATATATACAATAATCTTATTGACTAACTAGCACAAAACTATTATAATTTATCATATCTAACTTTTATATCTTATAATATTTATAACTTATCTTATATTCTAAATCTAGAAAATTTCTCTTTAAAATTACCTACTCATCATAAAATTTGTATAATTTATTATATATATATTAATGCATTATGGATTACACAAAACAAGTTTCAAAAATGAAATAAAATCTTTAAATTAGTTGATAACCACTTAGTTATACATTAACAATAATCAAAAAATCTCAAAATTTTTATGTAACTTTTAATCTTCTACTCTTAAATTCTTTAAAATTAAAATTATATTTGATGACCTCCTTACTTCACAAATGATATTATTCATATCTATCAACTTATTATTAATGTTATGAAACTAGTTCTTATCTTCATTGAATAATATATTTATCTGACTAATTGCTATAAAACCTTATTGATAGTTTATTACAATATATTCTAAATATAAATACACTCAATACTACTTTCAAAACTATAACCAAGTTATATTGCCAAATTAAATAACTATATTGTATAATTATATATAACACAATAAACCTACCATCAGTCTTTTCAACCTTATCAAACTTAATACCAAATGAAATTATCTCTATTATCTCAAATCTATCATCTAAAAAAATAACTATAATACTTATTATTAAATTTTTATTTTACTTTAATCAACAAATATAAAATTTGAATTTTCTTATTATATTTCAAGATCAATAACTTATTCTTCTACTTTCAACTTACTTTCAATTTTACTTTATACTCATCTCAATCTTTTTTTTCTAATTCAATTCACTCTAAAATTAACTCCTAGTATATACAATAAATCAAATATCAAACTAACCTCTCATATATAATCACTAATACCCAAATCTAAATGAGCCTTAATCACTTCTGTTGGTTTAGATCACAGATAAACTAATCTAAACTTCTACTCTTTTTATAATATTTTTAAAAATAAATTTATAATTTATATAAAAATTTCAAATAAATATTCAATAAAGATAGAAGCATGACCTCACCCTTAATATTAAAAAAAAATTTTTTTATTTACTCTACTAATTGAATTTTTTATTTTATAATAGTACTGATGATAATTAAGATTTTGAAACAAAACAATTGGTACCTAAAAAAAACTCGTAATTCTGTCATTGCAAAAAAACAAATTGCACGTAGTAGTAAATCATGCTCATGCAGAAGAAATAATTTATTGTGTTTATGATGATGTGTATGTTTTGCGAGATCAATGCAAAATCGTTAGATCATATTTAATTTACAAAATTCTATATTTAATATTTGCGTTAGACTTAATATTTGTAAGAAAATCATTTTTTTTATGTTTAGTATTTATAAAACAAACTTAATTTACTATTTTTATAATATATATGAAATTTTTTTTGTTATAAAATTTGTTATTTGCAAAAAAGCTTTTTTTATATAATATGTATTTAGCAACGGAAGCTTTATTTTTACATTTAATATAATGTTAATTAATCAGTAGAATTCATACCGATATTGAAATAACATGTTATTTTTTAATTCAAAAACATGTGTCGATTCCGAATTGACGGGAATCAATAAATGACATGCAACATATATACGTAACAATGATTTTTATTATAAAAAATCCATATTTAGTACTAGAAAATTCCGTTAAACAACCAATATAAAGTTATAGCCAAATTGATACGTAATACTTAGTAAACAATATGGAATAGATTAAAAATTTTATATGCAACTATAAAAATCTTTAACATAATAATCTACTCATGCAATATTAAATAAATGCTTTAAGTTATTTCATGATAAATCTTTCACCGCCCGCCGTCATGCAAATACATATAAGCTTTTTTTTAACATTAAATTATGATTTATGCCTTAGTAGCACCTTTTGAAGTAAAGGCTTCAGATCTCCAAATTTCCCTAGCTTTTAACTTGTCTTCACTCACAGGTGAAGTAGTTTCCTTAGTAGCTGCTTGTTGTTGTTGCATTTCAACAACTTGTGATTGAACTCGGGCGATCTTTTCTTGAATAAATGCAACTGCTTTTTTCATGTGATCAGTTATAACATTTTCAACTTGACGTTTAAGATGCTTTTCCACCAAAGGAGTAAGCAACATGTACAGGAAGCTTATTTATTTAACAAAAAGAAATTAATTAGGAAATATATAATTTATATATAGACCATTTTTATTTTTTATAATATATAATTATTAAATGATACTCACTCATGTTTCGTGTCATGTAAGCGAATCTTCAAATCGGTTATCTTAGTATCTGCTTCAATAATACGGAATTGTGCGACTTGTGTATTTTCGCCAGGTAGATCCAAAAAGATTTTCATGTAATATCGTAAACCATCAGCAGGAATTGCAAAATCAACTAAGCCGACCTGTATAATATATATAATATACCATTTAATCATGTCGTAAATTAAATATTACTATGAAAAAAACTCGAATTATACTCACATCACGCATTGTGATTAATCCTCCCTTTTTCTTATAATAAAATGCAATATTACGAGCATCAGCACGAAGCTTGGAGCTAATTAGAACGAAATGTTTAGTATAATATTAAAAAAAAAAAGATTAAACCATCAAAAAATAAAATGAATGAATCAAATCAAAATACATTTCGAAAACTGCAGTGTTTTGCACGACGTCATCCGGCTCACGATCCAAATTAATATCAGAAGTCAAACTAATATGAAGATGTTTGGGAACAATATCTGACACATGAAGTACGATATTATCGAAACTATATTCGTACGTATCATCAGAACTAATAAAATAAAAAAGATATTCAGTAAACTAAGGTAATTTATAATAATCAAAATAAAAATATATAAAGACAGACATACTTTTCTAATCGTGGTAGTGGAATAAACTTTAATTTTTCGGCCACCATCGATAAGATCTTTCCAAAGTCTTTAACTAATCCAAACTTGATAGTCGGACGACCTTTCTCATCCAAGAAGACATCTCTGATCAAACATTCAAGGTCACGAGTCCACTCAATAGTGGTTCGATCTTCTTGTAAACCTTCATTAAAGGCGGCAGCCTCATCAGCGATCTTTCGTGTAATCTCACCATAATTTTCCAACAAGATTCGACGTCCATTTTCAATGAGACGCGAACCGTGATCATTAAAATCGGTACGTTGAATAAATTCATGATCACGTAAAGAGGAGAGAACGAAATTTTGAAGTTCTTTAAGATAATTACGAAGTTCTTCGTCACGTTTGATTTGTGTACCCAGATTTTTTAAAGCACAAATTAAGTCATCTAATGACTTATGATTGGCAAAATTCTCAATAAGATCCTTAGCATTTTGTTGAGCAATTTTAAGTGACGGAGCTTGTTGACTAGTGCTTTTAGTAGTTTCAGTTACATGAGTAACGATTTCTTGAGTATATTCAGAAATACGAGACATGACATCAACAAGATCGGTGAGAGCTTCCTGATATTCTGAACGTGTTTGAGTCTCAATCATGAGATTCTTAAATCGGTTAACAATACGTTCACGTTTCTCGGGTGATAATTTGTAGTTTGTCACTTTATCTTTAACAGAAGTTACAAGGCTCTTCATTCCATGACCGGCAGCCTCTTGTAGAGATTTTTTACCTTCACCAAAATCCTTTATTTGTGGACCAACAATATCCGCCCCGGCCTTAGCCACAGGATATACACTTTCGCGAGTCTGCTGCTTAACATGGTGAGTAAATTCACCCGGGGATTTTTCTTCATCAGTTTGCGGTGTCTCAATATCACCTTCTTGACCAGGAACAGTAACTGATAAAGCTTCTTGAAATATATGATTAATATCGTTCACCAACTTTCGAAATTCCGAGCTTGAAATTAATAGCTGAGGAATCTATATAAAAAGATATAGTTAAGTAAAGCAAAACAAAACAAACTATAAATTAAAAAAGTCAATAAATAATTTTTCATTAATTACCAATAAAGTTTTTCGCCAAATTTCTTTTACCGATGGTTCACAAGTAGCAATATGTTCATCTACTTTTTGTTTTAGATCTTCCGGAACCTTGGCGGTTTCTATAATGAAAAAAAAATTGTCCATAAAAAAAAAGTGAAGAAATTAATAATGCATATGACGCATTAACTAATTAATACCTACCACTTATTTCTCTTGCAGCTTTATTACCATAATATACAGCATTCTGTAATTCATCACCAGCATTCTTCTCGACTAAAAGATTTTTTGTACTCTCTAAAAATTTTTCGGTATCAGCTAATACTTTTTTACCCAAAGGAGACATTCCACGAGCACTTTCATGAATTGTATCATTCTCTTGAATTGATTCAATGGTCGTCGTGATTTGCTCAGTGGTTGGAAGTTTTCCTTCCCTATTAAATTTATAAATTTATTATTAAATTTAGGTTAATTAGGACTAACATAAATTATTCAAAACCAAATATTTTTTTGATAGGATACTTTAATGCCTCGGTAAGCTGAGTTGCTTTTTCAGCATTTTTCAACGCTTCTTGTTCAGCAGTGGTACGTGCAGGATCATTCTTTGGTGGAAGTTTTTTGCTTGACATGTTTTCTTTTTTTGATTGATATTAATATAATATTAATATGATTTATATGTTATTTTTTGTTCGATTTACTCGTACTTGTATACTCGTGAAAGATATAAAAAATGGTACCGTTAAAAATGCTTGAATATTTCAAACCTTTATATATGTGTGTGGACAATGATATTAGTCCATTGTATTAATTTTTATGTCATTTCGTTCATAATCCATTCAACACGTCATCATTTGCAAAGTTAAATTAAATCATCACTTGATGATGTATTGATTACAGTGGCAATATTCGACGCTAAGCAATAATGATCAAATGTAACGTAGAGGCTTTCTTTGGATATATGATGTCTTTGTTCGATAATCAAGTAAATACTCGAATATTACGTAATTGATTCACTGAATTCATATGAAATTTCTTCTCTTGATAATTTGATTATTTGACTATATCGATATGATTGCCTAAGTTTAAAATTTTATACGTATTAAAGTGTAACATATTCGCAGAGACAAATTCTTTGATTATGTAATCATGACTTGACAATATTTGAATTTGTTTCAGTTTCAACGAATAGATTGATGAATGATTGAAAACTGAAAGAAATTACATTACGGTACGATTGCGTATTATTCAAAGCATAAAATGCGTCATCTACTATTGTTTTTTTATTGCCTTTTTTTTTTTTTGTTGACGTCTCTCATTGCAAGTTACATAAACAACACTTAACCATTTTTTCTGTGAAGAAATTAATTGGACTTTTTAATGATTTGCGATAAGCAAATGACGTACTTTATATTTCAGCCTGTTACTTATGATGTTAAACCCATAACTATAGAATTAAATAATTAAAATACGTGGATAGATGACGAGAAATAAGCTATAGTGAGGTAGATTACTATTATTTTTATGTATAATCATTCGAAACTTCTACGATAATTAGATATTTTATCTAAATCAAGATTCTTAGATGTACAGCAAAATTTTTTTAAGGTATTTCTGTAACTTACACTTGGAACGTGGCTCTCTAAGGTGTTTATAATTAACAATATAGCAAAAAATCTTGCATATCGTAAATGTGTACAAGGTTAAGGTTAGGGTTAAAGGTAGGATCTAGAGGGGGATAGTTTATATAGTAAAATTGTTCAACGAAAACTTTTTGTTAGAGCGCAAAAGGTAGTTTCTTATGTTGATTTTTGAGCTATGAGCGATTTTTGGCAGAACGAACGTTTGTTTATTATCATGTTATGCCTAGTCTTGAAATCTGATTCGTAGTTCAGAAGATCTGCGATATGCAAAAATCTTGGCAAATTACGTAATTGTTATGGGGCTGAACGTGAAGCTGAAATTAGCCAAAGCTAAAAACTTCGGGTCGATTTAGGTCTATAAAATCCTGCCTATAAATTTTAATTTATCTATTACAAAAAAAAAAAAAAAAATCAAAAATTTTAAATTGTAAAAACTAGTCTATAAAAACTGCAGTATTTAATATATATTATAACGTTACAGTATATTTTTAAATTAGCAAAGTGGTTGATACGTATTTAGGAATGGATCGGTCCTGAAAAGACCGAGTGAGGATTGGTCTCTTTGACTGGTCTCACGATTGACTGGTAGTCGTATTAACTCGTGACTCGTAAATTCGATCAAATTATTTATTCGATTAATTCGAGTTTCCAACAATTAATTGATTGAAAGTTTTGTAAATTGAGTTGCAGAAGCAAAAATACTTTAAATAAAACCGAAAACTTAATCGCCCAAATTTTTTTCAAAGCGAGATATAATTTTAATAAGCATTGTTTCATTACATCATTCTAATTTATAAATTAGAATGACGATACGTGATCCGGAAAATTTTTGGTTGGTAAATTTTACCCGGTTTTCAAATAACGAATTACGCAAAGCAAATATAATTCAAATTTACATGTTATAAAAGCAATTATCACAGATTACAAATAATGAAAACAAGTAGCATACTGTATCAGTTATTCATTAACCAGAAATAATGTATGTAGCAAATTCATATTTCTTTTTAATAAAAATAACATCTCATTCGCCAATTCTGGATTAAGGTTTGGTAGAGTTTATTTAAATTTCAATGAATTTCATATAGCTCGTTAAAATCGGTGTTGACAATTTTTTGTTCTATTGATAAATATTATATTCTATTCTGATTTCTCTAGGTTCTATTGTTCAATTCATCTATTTCTATTAAAATTACATACGTACATATTCATTATAACGCATGAGTAAATTTAAATAATAAATTCGAATTATTCAAATCACTATTAACGGGTGTGGGACCCTGGCCGTTTGGGGGTCAATTGCTTAATTAGGGGTGAAGTCGGTATCATCAGCGATATCAGTCGTATCAATCTCAGGATGTCTTATAATTATAAATAAAGGCCAAAAGCCCCCTTTGCAACTTATACCTAGTACATATATTTCATAATCACTCATAATAAGCTACTTGTAAATAGTAAAACGGATATCTTTATTAAACATAATCGTTGCTACATATCTGTCCCTAATTTGTGATTACGCTATTACATTTGTCCAATAACAAACCCGAAACCTCCTTCGCCATAGAACTCGACTAATACCATAATAACCACTCGTCAAATCTAACACGCTTCTTTCAACACTCCCAAGTGGTTACACGAGAAATCTGAGTGTGGAGCGACTGACTCTCATAGGCAGAAGTTCGTCTGATTGGCCAATAAATTCAATTTAATTTTACATTATTTATACAGTTTAGAGTACTTTTTAAAAAAATGAAAACTAATCATAATGAAATATAAAAGTTATATAGAGGGTTTAGAGCTGTAGAACTTTATAGTCAAAAATAAGATCTAATTTTTAAAAAAAATTAGCTTAATAATAAGTTGATTTTATTGGAGTTTAAGAAGTTATTACTATACTACCTTTTTTAAACGGACGAGAATTAGATCTTATTTTTGTCTATGGAGTCCTACAGCTCTAATGAAACCTTCTATACAGCTTTTTTTATTCATTATGTTTAATTTTCATTTTTTTTTAAAAGTACTCTAAACTGTACAAATAATGTAAAATTAAATTGAATTTCTTAGCCAATTAGACAAACTCCTCTAGTATAATACGTATTAATAATATGTATATAGATTTCTGTTTCTTTAATCTCATAAATTTTACTTTTAGACATATTAGTGTCGCTTATTTGTACTCCTATATATTGAAAATTTATTTTCAATATCTTCTTTGAATAATAAAAAAGTACAGCAGTAAAGAAGCACAGAACCACAAAACCACATGATTTTACAATAAATAATGTGCTTATTACCTTATTACTATTTTTTTAAGTTAAAAAACTGTTTTTAAGTGAAGTATATTTAGGCAAGATTAATCTCAAAAATATTCGAGGTACTTAAAGTTTTATTCATAAAGTATTTCTATATTATTATGAATGAGTTACATTTTTTTTAAAAAAAAATTACTTTTAAGATGTAAAAGTATTTAAACTATATAAATTCAACTGTATAAAATTAACTAATCACAAGAAAGTTACCTTATAAAGTTAGTTGTTAATCTAATTGAATGATTAATTATAACTAATTGTTATATATTTTTTTAATAAATTTGATTATTTAAATAATCATTTAGTATTTAAAATTTTAATCAAACAAATAATTAAGTGGTTAAAAGTTTTTTAATTTATTAGTCAATTAGTTGTTAATTATTAATTTTTTAATAATTTAGATCATATATTAATATACTAGAAACAAAGTGAAACAAAGTGTATTATTATACAAAAAGTAAAATGTTGTAAATAATATAGTATCTAATTTATATTTTGTTTAACTGACACATGCTATATATGCAAGCTTGTGATAATTTTATTTAGTTAACTATTTTATAAAAATTGTGTCAAAAGATCAAACATATTTATTGAAAGGTTTCAGAATAAAAAAAAAATAGCATATTTTGAAAGTAAATAAGAATTTAAAAAATTTTATTTTTGTTATCAAATTTTGAAATCAAAAAATAAAATAGAAGTATTTAAAGATGTCTAGTTTGTTAAATTAGATAACTTTTTTGATAATAATACTGATTATTATAATATTTACTAAAGTTTTTTTACTGTAATAATTGTATTGTATTATTAATAAAAAAGATAAACTTTTATTTAAATAACTTTCACTTGAAATTTGTTAATAAAACTTTTATTAAATTTTTTTTAAAAATTTTTATTTAATTTTTAAAAATTTTTCATTTAAATTTTTTTAAAAAACTTTAATATAAACTTTTTTTAAATAAAATTTTTGGTTAAATTTTTTTTAAATATTATATTACTTATAAATATTTAATAAAATCTTTATATTTAATATACTTTCAAAGAGAATTTTTAAACAAATTATTAAAGAGCAAAAGCTTGCTATAGTTGTATTTATAAAAAATTCTAAAAGGCACAATATTATTAATAAAAATGTAATAACTGATGTTTCTATAAGTGCAAACTAATAATAAAAAATACTAGCTTTGCAAAATAATTTTATTTGTAAGATTTCTTTAAATTAACTCTTTTTACTAATTACTTAAACATAAATTTAATAAGAAGTAAAAATAAGCTTATACAAAAACAACTATTTAATTTATTTTGAAGTCTAAATAAAAAAAAACATTTAAAAAAGATATAAAAAAAAAGAAAACTATTAAAAACAGTTAATAAGTACAAAAAAAAACAAGAAAAACTAAGAAAATACTCAAAAAATAAAATTTTTGGAGAATTAGCATTAACTTTGTATTACAAATCTGGTTTGATTACATAAATATAAACAAACAAACAAATTAGTCATATGCAAAAACAAGCAAAACATATATATATCTAATTCTTACTATAAATATAAATATATTAAAAGAATATAGTAACAGTTTAATAACAACATATATTAAAAGAGCATATTGAACTATTAATAATATGCATAATAGTGTGTTTCTTAAATAAGCAGATAAAACATATATAATACTTAACAGAAAAGAT